TTTTTTTTTGGGGGGGGGGGTCCCCCTAACCACCCACCCTGGGTGTTTCGTACCCCAAGGATTCTTTGACATTTTAAGAATTAAATATTTTTCTATGACATATTACAAAGGATTACAAATGAACAATCCAAAATTTAAGCTTAACCTAGCCTTTTACATGTATAAATATTCATACACTCTGATAATAAAACAGAACGTACCGTTTCAGTATCAGAGGGTATGAATTTTCCCCGTCCCCAAGCACCCGTGATAACTAGACGTATGTACGTCTGGAATCTTAATGCGTAACAAGAATTTTTTATTTGTCCGCCCCTCTCGATCCTCCCGAAATGACATTTCTTTGTTTTGCCCCCAAATGGAAATTGCTTCCTACAGACATGCATTGCGTAAACACTTTGTCATAAGGTGCTTTTATTAAGAAAATATATTTTAATATGAATTTCTTCATCCTTATTTAGTTTATATGCTCTTTTGGTAACTATGAAAAGACGCCGGTCAAAGAGAAAAATACTGCAGAAAAACAGATGAAGTGGACAGTAAAATATGGAGGAACAATCACTTGTGTGCATGAACACTGAAGTTTTATTTTTTGATGATATAATAATAGAAAAAAGTGCAACTGCATGGAAGTAAATAAACGCATTCTTGCGTGAGAAAATATTATCTGAGACGGACATTATACTTAACATTTATATATCCTGACAAGAAATGAAATCACCAACTCTGTACAAGTATATTATCTGAGGAAAACTGCCCTACAGGCACGAACTATAGGTGGGGGGGACCTCCCTGACTTTTTCGTATAAATATTTTTAAAATTTTAATTTAAACAGGAAATTTTCATGAAAGGTTAGTAACAACCCCTTTCCCGTTTAGTCACAGTAAGGTCATTTTCCTACATCTCATTATACTAGTATTTCTTATATATAAGAAAAAGACTACCCCCTTCCATTTAATTTTTTTTGGGGGGGGGGTCACATTTTTAATCAAGAATCTTTTTGGCTTGTTTATTACCCCCCCCCCCCTTTGCATATTCAGTCTGCTTCCCTTGCTCACCATATGCTTAACATTTATTTAGTTTGTTTAAAAGGGAATAACATTTATACGAGGGTTGTCCCAAAAAGTCGTAGACAGGTAAAACAGTTTTGTTTCTCTTTGCTTTAATAAATTTCTTTCCTTGTCATAGCAAAGAGTAACATTTTATGATCATGCGCTTCAAGTTTCATGATGATATCACATCTGATAAGAAAATTATGAAAAAATAAAGAGAGAATATAAGTGTACACGGCGCACGAAAGCAAGCGTAAATTACGTCTCTTATAACGTCATGATCTCTTTGTCTGCTTCACTAGCGGGTATTAACATTCAATATTTTTTTAAAGTGATAGACAACTCTTGATTAACGGACATATTTAAATTCACTACTGTCCGTTTGTTTTTTACTTGATTTTTTTAAGCAGATTCAAATTTCAGTCGCAACTTTGTCGAAAGATCGCCTTACATTGTAGGTAGCAGAGAATACAAATTGTTCGACGTCGTTCGCGGTCCAGATTTTTCCAAATTGTCTGCGTTTATCAAACAGTACTCTACTTCTTACACGCCGTAATTAACTATTTTCGGTAGAGAAGAAAAACTCTCATTGAATATCGTGCAATTTAGAAATAACTTCTTTGTTAAAATCTGGTGTGTAATTTCACTTCTGTTTTCTATTTTACCGTCACCGATGTATATTAACCATATCCAACACAATTTATTACATCTCCGTGCGCCGACTACGCGTTTGACGACGTCATTTTCATCAAAATCAATTTCAGCGATAGTATGAAAATCATGACACCAATCGTCTGTTTTTAATGATATTTATATGAAATTTTGACATAATATTCATATTTTTATTCTGGTTTCAATGATTTAAATTTGAGTTCAATGTATCATAAAGTACTAAAGAAATAAAAGCAAATGTAATAGTTATATGCGTAAATTATTCCGAATTTTGTTCGCGCGCCGACAGGCCTTAACTATTATCATATAAATCGTTCTAATATTATTAATATGAAAGATATGTATTCAAAAATTAACAATTTTAAAGAACATTGAATATATTATGTCTTTGCAAAATTTGGTAAGTATTGGTTGCATGATTAAAAATTTATAAACATTGTCTACGACTTTTTGGGACAACCCTCGTATACACAATAAAAACATACAGATAGTTTTTTTCTGTATCATTTTCTACTCTACGTACATTCATTGTACATCTCTATTATCGCAGATTTTCTCGGATGGGCACATAACCGCCTCGGTAACCTTCCGTCTTGTGCGCAGGCACCTGAAAAATGATACATCCACCACCCCTACCGAGATATTTTTGGACACGATAATCATTTCCTTGTTTCTCTTTTCAAATAATAATTTCCTTGTCTATCGTACCAATACTGTTTGATACGGTCCTTCGGATGAGACCGTATAAATCGAGGTCCCGTGTCGCTGTAGGTGCTGGCACGAAAAAGATACCTCGATCCTTGCTCAATGGCCCTATGTGCGAGCTTAGGACAAAATTTTCAGCTTTCCGCCGGCAAATGATGGCGTCTTCATATGAGTAAAAAATAAATAAATAAATAGACTCAATTAATCGATATTTGATTATCATCTTCCGTTTTCTGTCAAGTTTTAGAAATTGTTCCTTTACGGTTTATGAAAACTGCGGGTACTTTTTATGGCTTTGGCAGCATGCTAGAGGTAGTTTACGGCAAGATACATGTACATTTGACGTGGCGCCGCGTAATACTAGTACATTGTACATGCATGTAAATATACCGAGCACATACTGTAAAGGGACAATCTCTGTAACTTGACAAAAACGGAAAATATCAAAGTATTCATGGTATTCTGGTATTGGTATGTAGACGAGGAATTCATGTATATTGTTAAATTTTCAATAGGAGAGAGAGGGCAAAATCTCAGGTGCCTGTCATCCTGTCTAGTACAGTACTGTAACGAAAATAACTCAAATAAAAATTTTAAAACCCTTCCCTTCAAACAGTATTTGGGCTTTGAAACCTATAAACTGAGAAACTAAAATACGACTTAAATTTTGAAATAAACCCAAGAAATCCGTCCGACATTTTATATTTAATTAAAATGTCGGCTAAACCAGCCACGTAGCATCGTTTTTGAAAGGGGGACAGCCAGAGAAAAGTTTTAAAAGTTGACAAGCAACAAAAAGAAAGGGGGGGGGGGAGAATTGCCCAAACTCGAAAGCGTAATGCTTGTGAAAAAATGAGGAAGCCCTGTTACAACGCACTTTGAAAAATTACGCACTTTGAAAAAATTTTTTCAAAGTGCGTTAAAATTTGGGACCAAGCTTACGCACTTTGAAAAAAATATTTTTTTTTCAAAGTGCGTTAATATGGACCATATTAACGCACTTTGAAAAAATGTAAAGATTGATCAATATTCCTTCAAATAATTGGTATGATAAACAACAAATTCTGGTTTAATAACTTTTTTTATGATAAAGTCACTGTAGGACCTGAGATATTGACGTTTTAAATATTTAAGGTTTTGATAAAAGAAAAGGGAAAATTAAAGGGTCTTGAAAAAAGAGTGACGATTGTTTAAGTTCATTAATTCGTTTCTTCTTCTTTTTTTAAATTCTAGTCTTTGATAAGTAGATGTTAAAGGTGTATAGGGGGCACTAACAGAGGACAGCTTCAAGCAACTTAGCATTTATCATAATAAAAAGGGGCCAATTTGATTGTTCAAAACTATGAAAATTCTTTCTCTCTCATACGTTTTACTGCACTTAAAAATAATATAGTTTTCATCTGTTTTAATTAACTCATTAATTATTGAAAGTTTTCAACGTCATACCAGTTAGGTAAATACATAATTATATGAATGCTTTGAGTATAGCATAGACATCGAGACTGGGCGAAGGGCCAGGGGAGGGGAGGGGGGATAAGCCTCCCCCCACTTACTTTGGAAAGATATATACATCGTATAAACATTGGAAATGCAGCGTACCCTTTCTAGGTTTATTGCTCCCCTTTCCCGTTTGTTACCGATACCTATGTATTGGTAAGATAAAGATTTGGTCTGAGGGATCTTATACTGTTTTTCTCCTCTTTTCGACGGGAGAAAATCAATTTGAGGTTAGGGTTAGGCTTAGTTTTTTGAAAGATAAATAACAAATAAAATCTTTCCATGACTTAAATATGATTTTTTTTTTCAAAGTGCGTTAAGTGTCTCCATGGTAAAATATATTGATGTAGACTTTTAACGCACTTTGAAAAATTTTTTCAAAGTGCGTTGAGTTGGTCCCAAATTTAACGCACTTTGAAAAATTTTTTCAAAGTGCGTTGGTTTTGTCCCAAAAATTACGCACTTTGAAATTTTTTTTCAAAGTGCGTAATTTTTTCAAAGTGCGTTGCCACAAAGCCCCCTCTGCACCCCCTTCCCTGTGGCTACGTGCCTGTAAACTGATCTACATGTACAGTGTATGTAAAAATATTGGTCATATTTATAGCTTTGTATGTTTATTGGGCTCAAAACCATTTCTCTTAGACTCAATTTAATATAAATACTAGTATTCTCCTCAATTTCAGGTTCGTAAACAATAAAAAAAAAATATACTCATATCTTGTCCCGAATTATTATTAAAGTTAAAAGCGCACATGGCAGCATCTAGAGAACAATAATTTTCCACACCCGTCGATATATTATGCCCGTCCTATTTCACATTGTCTCGAATGACGTCATGCAACAAGGGAGATAAGCGATTTACAATAAACGATCCACATGTCACTCAGGTAAGTTTAAACAACATTTAATGATGGAAATTGGTGACAAAAAATTAAACAGACCTCAGAATGTTATTAATATTATTCTAGAGGCTGATATTAATGAATAATTGTGAATTTTCACATAAATATTATATATACATTATCCGGAAATAGTTAATCTTATCATCATTCTTTTCACTAACCGTTACACTGTACTTTCCAATTTTCAAACGCAAAAGAGTTCCAAAGATGAACGAAAACAGGTACCACCTTTTATTTCTAAATGTCATCTTTTGTGTTCTTGCCTTTCCCGTTTTATAGATTTGGAGAATGGGAAAGTGAACTACAACATATTTTCTTGGAGGCTATAGTATTTTTTGTTGTTGAATATTTTGAAATGATTAACCAAAATCTACAAACGATGATGCTGTCAGTGTCAAAAGTGTCAGCTATGATAAATTTATATGTTTAATGATTTCTTAAATTTAGGAATGTGTAGTTTTGATTCTGTTTATTATTGGTTAAAAGGCACATATACAGACGATGAAACAATGTTAAAACAATAAAATCTTACTTGAGAAGAAAACATCATACTGCAGACTTTGAACATGATAAACAGATGAAACCAGACAGGGCTCTCACACCACTTTTTGGGACTGGGACCGGGGCCGTTCAAATTGGGAAATTATCGTCATTTTGGGAAAAGTTGGATAACCAAAATTCTTTAAAAAAAAATTATCAAATTTTGCTTTTCTAGCATTTTGTCATCAATTTAACTCTGGTTTTGAATAAACAGTTAAACAGAACAAACATGGGTACGTAGGCTATTCATGAAAGTACATTAGCTTTGTCATTACTATCTTTGAGTGTTGATATTGCGGTTATATGTCTTTCTAAGTGACAGTCGCTAGTCACATATTCCCGAATTTCCTCGATCACATGGACAACTTTGCTTACCAATACAGCGCGAGACTAAACATGCCGAAGTGTGGGTATGTTTCTAGGTGCAGCTTACTAATGTTTAAATGAAATGTCTATTTTTGAAACCCAAATGATGTTTTTTGTCGAAACTACATGACAAGATACTCTGCTGTCATAGTTAGTACACATTTTTGTAAAAACAATAACCTGGTTCCCCGAACCAGTTTACTAATGCATTTGGCGCGAACTAATAAAATAGTGGTAAAGTTTCACTTTTATTTGCAAGTGTGTTTTGTTTGTTTGTTTGGGGTTTTTTTTGCGATTAAGTTTCATGGATTTTATTTTTTAATTAATATTTTGCTATGGAAATTGGGAAATATACACCTTTCTTTTGGGAAAAAGGTACCTTTTTTGCTTTTGGAACGGGGCCGAATATCGGCCCCAGATTTAGAGAATCGAGAGCCCTGCCAGAAAACTAATGTTATTGTCGATCTCAGAATTTTACAAACCATGTGTTCCTAGCAATTCTTTAACTGCTTCTAGAACAAAACATTTCCCCCAAATTTTGTTTAAAGCCCTGGGGCCTGAAATTGTGACCAGCGAAAATTTCACCTATTCACACTGCCATATTAGGTAAGAAGATAATATGGTCTATTGCGCTTCGTGCATGACTCACTGTACATGCGGTTTTGTTGTGTATGTAGCAAAAAAATATGTAAGAAACACATGGTTCATAATATTTTGAAATTTTGCGGTGAGAAAAATTGAGAAAAAGCGCACTTTTTTGTGTGCAATAAATATACACTTTTTTCAGTGGGTGGCACTGAAGCTCTCTGACTGTTCATCCCGATTTTCTCAGACCAGTGAGCTACAGTTTTAAGCTATGCTTTTATGTACTGGTTAACATGCATCAATGGGTTCAATTAACATGTTGAAGAATCTATTAGTAACTGTGTGCATCACTCTACTACAATTTATTTCTGTAGAATCTTTAAGAAATGAATACAGTAAATCACTTTTTATTCACAAGAACTTTATTTTCACATAATTATGCGAGACAGTGAGTTCACGAAAATTTCATTCTCCCTTATAATAGTAATACTAGAATTATTCTTAAGATATATAGAGAAATAACAACTATTTGTGAAAATTATGTCTTGCTAATTAAGAGTCAATGACTGTCTTGCGAAAATAAGGTGTCACAAAAATTAAGTGATAAAAAATACAGTAATGTCAGTATGAAATATCAGTTTAATTTTTTATCTTAAATATTGTAATTATTTATAACTGATTATGTTACAGAAATGCCCAATTTCCAGGGCAGCCACCAGGTAAGATAACTCTTGCTTTATTATTTTCATTAATTTATAAATAGTTACTCAAATGTTTAATATGCAACCTTATGAATTTCTAGTACTGGTACCAGTAAATGCTTTTGAATCGTTTTCTATACCAATACAAAAAAAAAACAACATAATTTTCATTTGATATACATTGTAGTTTTACACTGAATGAAAAACATTGCATCATCTTCTTTTTAAGATAAGTTACTTTGATCTTCTTTGTAACGTATAGGTAACTTTGGAATGATGAACAGTCATCCAGGTTATGTTCAGCCTGGAATGACAGGGTTTCCCATGATGCAACAGCAGAGAATGATGGGACCACAAACTCCAATGATGCAGCAACAAATGATGATGTCTAACAGGGGTCCAATGATGCAGGGAAATATGTTTCCAATGCAGGTTTGTCCTTGAATTTTTTGATACACAATGTGTTCAAATGAAGAAGAGCTAACATTGAACATACAATGCTATGTTTGAAAAAAAAAAAAGAAAAAAAAGTTTGAAATACAGCAGAATCTTTTTTTCTTTACAATTTAATGGAAATAAAATAATTTGACTTTAACCAAACTTCCCTGTATACAGTGTTTTCAAGAGAAATTTTGAATAGGTATCAATGTAAGCATTTTTTTCTTTATCATTACAGATGGGGATGAGACCAGGTGTAGGTCCACCATCCTACAACCAAGCTCTGACAGACAGCTACAGACAAAGGTTTTTTTTTTTTTTTTTGCTAAAATACAATTGAAAGAGTGTTTTTATAAATGAAAACAAATAAACAAATCATAATCAAGCAACAAAGAATAATCACAACTTGAATTCAAGTCATCTTTCCCTTATGTCAAATAATTTCTTTGGTAAATCTTTTTGTTAGGGGGCCAGCCCCATCCAGAGGGCCAACTCCTGCCAGAAATAGGGCCCCTCTATCCCCAGAAAGTCAGAGGCGAGCCCTGGAGCAGGAGAAGAGAGTCAGGCAGTTCCAGGAACAGCAGCAGCGGCTGAAGAACTTTAGAGGAGGCAGTAAGGTGGACGCTGATTCACTGATAGAGTCCATGTTTGGTAAAGCAGAGAAACCGGTGCCCAAAAATACTCCCTCACCTCCTACAGCTAAAGACAGTGAGATCATGTTAAAATGATTTTTTCTGTTTACAGAAAGTTTTAAAGTGACTAAGAATTGTTGCTCCTCAACCTTTAAGGTTCATTGACCTTCTGATAAGAGAGACAACTAACAACAAAAATATCTTTCAATGTTACCTTTAAAAGTTGACAAACTTAATTTGCAATATGAGGCAAGCTGAAGTTATTGACATTTTTATGATAAGTATGATTTCTTTCTAGAAATTATTATCATAAAAGCCACATTTTACATGAAGGAAACGGGGATGATGCACATCAACTTCCAAGAATGGAAATTGACCAAAAAAAAAAAACAAAAAAAAAAAAAGAAATGCATGATTTTGAAGGTTTCAGATCATATAGTTTTACTTATCATTTTTAGTAACAAATGCTCAGCAAACAGATGATGGATTTGGTGATTTTCTGGGTGGCCCCTCAACTCCTGCTGGACAGGAAGGTTCCCATGGTAACCAGGATGTAAATAATGTAGAGGCCACTCCCACCACTAGTGAGCAATTATCAACACAGTCTACTGAGAACATTCCCCCAAAAGAAGAAAAGAAAGGTTAAAAAGTTTCTCTTACCGATACAGTTTTTTAAGCTTACACAAGTTATGGATTCAAACCATCTTGATTTGTGCACATGAGGATATTGGATACTAATCTGAATATTGAGGGAAAAATATTTTTTAAAGAAAATATATATTCTAATATTAAGAAAAAACCTTTTCTGAAATACCCAAATTTGACCAGAACACTTTATAAAGAAGTTTTTCCTGACTTTTACTTGTCTAACCTTGCTCAGAAAATCTTGCCCCTTAAATTGCACTTTATTTTCTTTACAGGATATATGTAGTATTATTATGTTTTAATAAAAGACTAAAATATAAAACCAGAACACTATAATTCTGCAGCTAGACTTTTACAGGTTTGAAAATCTGTAATTACTTCTTCAGATCTCATGGCTATGATGTTTGAGTGTTCTGATCTCTCAGCTCCTAACAAAGCGAAGACATTCCACAAGCCCTCCCTAAAGGAGCTACCACCCACTCACCACCACCACCACACATTCCAGCAGAGTCGCCACGCCCACCAGTGGAAACAGGAAGAGGATCTTACAGGGCTTTTTCTGGTCCAAGGTATGATGGGATATGTATTACTTAAGACCAGTAAATTTAATTAACTCCTCTCACAGTCATAGGTTAAAAGAAATATCTTTATTTTTGCAACTGCCTGTCTTTTTGAATTGTATTTATCATCATTATCCAGTCTTTTTAAGGATGAGGATATGATGGATGTTCAATTATAAAGAACATTCATGGAGACAAAAAACCATATTAATTAATTGATTTTAATTAACCCTCACAGAACCAGCTACAGTATCAGCACCACCCACTTCACAGTCTCCACCCCAGACTGTCCAGGCCCCAGCCACACCGGTCAAATTTGAGGTTCCAGCCTGGTGCCATGAAGATGACAAGGTTCCACATTTATATAGACAAGTCCTGGAGGCAGCAACTGTGTATGTAGTCCTTATCTTTGTTACAGTGTGTGTATTTATTATCTCACAGTAACACACATGTGTTAGTTTATCCTCAGAATTGATGCAGGCTTGATTTATTTTATAGATATGATCTTTTAGGAGTGGAAGCTCCACTTTGCGATGCCCTTGTTATTTTTTTTTTTAATTCTTGTTTTCTGTAAATTTACGAAATGGGGATATTAAATCTTTATATTTGGTTTTTAATTGAACACTTTTTTATTTGAATCTCTTGCCATTAATTTTATATTTTCTTGATTTTATATATGATTATCATCTCAGAATTATTTTGATTAATGTGTGTTTTAGTGATGGTAAGATATCCACAGACAGACTGTACCCCATCCTGGTTCTGAGTGGTCTACCTAAGGAGACCCTGGGTCAGATCTGGTCACTGGCCAACCAGAGTACTCCAGGACAACTAATCAAACCAGAACTGTACCTCATACTGGCTCTTATTGCTTTTGCTCAGGTTTGTTTATGTACATGTTATAAAATCTTTTCATATTTTCAAAGATGTATGTTATTTGTTAGAACAACATAATTTTTTGCATTACTAGCTGTACCTGTGTATTTTTTATACAAATAAATGCAATGTTTAACCACAGAATGATAACAAAATTGATTTGATTTATATTCTTATGAAAGATTTGTATTTTCAACAGCCAGATTATATTTTCTTGTTTCATTTGTTACACATCTTTCCTTTTGGCCAAACAGAATAACATAACATCACTATCACCTGAAATGTTGAGGAAATGTCCCCAGCCTCCTGTTCCTTTTCTTGGCCAGCAAGCTGCCCCTCCCCCTGCCGGCACCTCAGGGCCCCCACCCCAGAACAATGCAGCAGTGGAGAATTCAGGGATATCTGGCACCTTGCCAATGATGCAGGGATCTCAGTCACCTCTCACAGCAGGGAATTCTGGGACAATTGGAACTTTGCCAACAGTGACTTCCATGGCAACAGGGACTCCGTCTTTACCTGGAAGTCAGCCTGTGTCTAGTCAAGGAGCCCCTGGGGTAGAAATACCAGGATTTGCTGGTTTAGAGGGAAGTCTAGCTGCTGATAAAACAGAAGATGATGACTTTGCAGATTTTCAGGAAGCCCCAGCCAGTACTTCTTCAGGTACTGAAGATTACTTTTCCTTATTTCAAAATTGCCTTTAATTTATTTGATCTTTTCTTAAATATTTTGATTTTGTTCTTAATGCAGAATTATACAATTATTGGTCTGTATAAATTGGTAGTTTAATAAAATCTGTGTAAATTTACATCCCATTTAATACTGTTGATGTACATGTATGCTTCACACTTTAATAAATGGTTAAATTTTTTTAGCCATAGCAACTTCACCAAAGAAATCAAATAAACTTAAAAAGGAACCTGAGTAAGTTTATAAATACCCAGTTTATCTGTTAAATCCAAGCTTAAATGTACATTTATTAGATGTTTAAAGTATCTTGAATTGACTTAAGCAAATTATTTTATACATTATTGAGCATGAAATAACTAAAATGATTAGGAATTCTAGAGAAAACAATTATTTTTCAGACAAATTCTAGCTATATTTTATTACAAAATATATGTATTCCTTGTATATGAACACTTGTAGATGACCAAAGTAAAATTCAGTTACTGGTATTTTTTTTTTTTTATAGATATTTGTACAGTGTTCCTAAGCCGGAAGACCTGCAAATTCAGATGTCACCAGGCATGAATCACTCCAACATATCTAACTTTTTCGGCAGTGATGATTCGTCAGGTAGATTAGAATTTCTGACTTTTTAGTATTATAGCTCTGTCTCTCCCACTTTCTAATATGATTTTTTGTCAATAGATACAATAGATTTGGCTGTTTCATTGCGTAAAAATTTTATTTGAAAAAATACCATCTGTACATATACTGATGCCATGTTTATCTGGATGGGTGTGTCTTTAATAAAGTAATTGACTTAACTGAATCTCTACTATAAATGTATCGAGAAACATGATAAAAACCTGTTTCAAAAAAATAATATTTTATTGTATCATTGCAAATTATTAATATCCAGATTAACAAAGAGACAGTGTATTGTATCCATTATGAAATCAGAAGTATGATGTAGATCAAATCATTCAATGAAATAAATGATACAAAGTTCCTTATTGACACGAATACTGAGCATTGCTAGTTCCAATAGGAGTACATATGTACTATATTCTGTGTTGCTGTTAGATTAGATTTGCTAGATTGCAGTGGAAATGCTTTCACTTTTGCTAGTATCAGAAAAAAATGGGTATGGCAGAGTACCACAAAGGTATTTAATATATCATTGAAAAGATTAATGAAATAATTGAAATGAATAATTTTTGTGAGAGTTAATTTTAGAGTGAGTGATTGAATAAGCACAGCTATGCAAGTATTAACGATAATCTGAATGATTAATTTTTTTTTCATGGAATAAGGTTTTCTTTGAAATTTGATACATATTGAATTTATCATAGAGGAGGACTTGTTGAGTAATGGTAGACCGCGGAGGTCCTACAGTGGTAGGTTGCTTTACACCGCTGGCATCTGAATAACTTGTTTGGATATAGTTTATGAACTGCTTTTGAAGAATTTTGAATTTTAGTTGAATAGAAGTTTTTAGTTTTGCAAGACGTGTATACAAGCATTTGATATCTGTGCATGGTTTTTCCATTTTCTTTATGATCAACAAAATTTTCAAAATTCAGACTTTTTATGGACTGAAAGATTGAAGAATGACTTCTGTTTTCCACAACATTTTCTGAAATAATAAACAGTTTTCTACCTTGGTATGGGAATGTTTGTACAACTATTTTTTGAATTTCTTTCATTTTTTTTCAAAAAGTTTCAGCCTCTCCACAACGAAAAATTGTAACTGGCAAGAAAGGTACTTTTACAGCGTAGCACTAAAATTTCCTCTTCTAGCATGCACTTTTTGACTCACACTGTACTCTGCTTGGCTGAAACTTGCTCTTGTGCTGCCTTTGAGTGATGAGGAATAAATATACAAATGCCAAATTTTTAACAGCTCTTTTTTCAGCATTTATGGCAATGCAGTGAAGATATGACTGGGTGCATGAAGAAATTATTAAATCATTTGTGTAATCTTTTATAAATACAATATTTTATATGTAGGTTGTCTCTTTTCTTCATAACTGTATTCATTCTTTGAACTCTGGCATGAAGTCTTCAGTATAAAAAAAAGAATGTTTTAGAATACTTATAGTAATAGAAATACATTTAAATGACACAACCAAACAAACAGTTTGATTATTTGTATATTGTGCTCCATTTTTTCAATATATGCATACAAAAGGTATAGGAATGATTTACATGTATTATATCAACATAAAACAATAAACATATCAGCTATTTATATTCTGTGGGTATTTTAAATGAATTTAAATTTTGAGCAATACACTTTTATCCCCCCCCCCTCTCCTTTCTCAAATAAACATCAATTGTACTAGTCACCCGAACCTTTGCTTAATACTTTTGTAATAATGCATTAGCATTTATTATAACCAGATAATGTTTGAAGACCTGATAAATATTGGAATGTTTTCTAGTGTCTGCAGACTTTCAGAAATAAACAGAACAATCTCAGGCAAAAAAGAAATAATGAAAGGAAATTCAATATTTTAAAATTTATTAATTGACTTATTTAAAAAAACAACAACATTAAACGTGATACTAAACATTGTTTTTTACTGTTTATTATTAGAATGTTGTAGCATATTTAACTGAGGTGTAATTATAACATATGCAATAATTAAAATCAACAACATTGAATTTTAACTTTTAATCATTTTAATGTTTTTTGTTTTGTTTTGCTAGATTAAAATCATCAAACTAATTAAATATATACATTAATGAATAAATGCTAGATGTAGTTAATAGGACTAATTTTTAGTCATTTTATAGTACACAGACACAAAATTCATATGAAGTCTACAATCATTAGGAATTAGAACAAAGAATAGAAAAATTAATATCTCTTCTTCTTCTTTTTTTTTTTTTGGAACACAAATTATAACATTCTATTTTACACAGAAATTGTCATCCTTGTATATGTCTCCTTTCATTTCACCAAAGTTTTCCCTTTTATATGATTAAATGCTGAACTTTTGTATGCCATAACCTTGTTTTACAATAAAAAAATACATTACATAATGTTCTTGTTAGGTGCTTCAACTCCCAACAGCATGGATGAAGACTTTGATGATTTTAAATCGGCTGACAGCAAACCTAGTGACAGCAGTCAGTTTACGTCATCCGAGCAGTCAGAAAATGAGGACTTCAAGGTACTGGAGTCGTATCTGGATGACTTCAACAGGAAAAAATCTGAGCAGGAGAAACAGCAAGAAAGCCCCCTCCATCGACCCCTCCCAAAATTTACCAGCCCCCAGTCCTCCCAGCTACCCAGCAATGCAACACTCTCGGCCATACCAGCAGCTAGAAATCTCTGGTCCAAACCACCAACTGTAAAGAAGGAGGCTGCTAAGGCTCAGTCGGATTTACCAAAGGCCCACTTCGGATTATCACCTCCCGAATCGTCGGATTCCGAGTTTGCGGATTTTCAAGGTGCGCCAAGTGAACAGCCCCCAGATTCTTCACAGCCACCAGGTGTTGACCTTTTAAAGGCCTCACAGAGTGACACTTGTTTAATTGGAGATGAGGACAAATATGCAGCTCTCAGGGCTTTTGATGTCAGCGAGGACACCACTGTCACAGTGGCTCCTTCAATATTTGACAGTAAACCCACTGTTGAAAGCGAAGAGGATTCCTGGGCCGATTTTCAGGCAGTGTCCACAGATGCTAAAGTTGATGAAATAAAACAGATAAATAATCCAGCTGATGTGCTGCAAGCTAACTTTACTAGTAACACACAAAATGATTGGTCTTCATTTTCAAGTTCAGCCAATGTTACCTCTAAGGATGATTCTGATTGGTCAGCTTTTGGAAATGGAACTGAGGCAACAAATATTCCAAAAGATGATTGGTCTAATTTTTCACAAGGAGAGGTAGTTAGTGATCAACAGAAAGATGACTGGTCAAATTTTTCTCAAGGAGAAGTAACTAAAGATGAAGCAAAAGATGAATGGGCTTCTTTTCACTCTTCAACAGGAAGTAATGATACGATAAAAGATACAAATCAGCCACCTCAGCTTGTTGAGGTGAAAAAGCAACACTTGCAGACTACAGACATACTGGGGTTGTTCAAAGTGAAGGAAAATCCAGTCAATGTTGTATCAAGGGATGATTTTGTGGAGCCGGAGAGAGAAAAAACACCCCCTGCTCCAACAAACATTCCCCTCCAAAAATCTAAAAAGTTGTCTTCGGATTCAGATATGGATGATGATCATTTCAGGGCTCCTCCACCTATGGATTTTGTGGATGAAGAGGATGACGCCTTCGGTGACTTTAGCCGAGGTTATGACTTGGATGAGGTTGTGAATAAACCTGCTGCTCAGGATGAGAAGAAAAAGAATCTGTACAACTTTTATGGAATGGATGCTCCATCTAGTAAATCCACATCCCAAAGCTTAACCAACAAACCACAGACCTCTGTGTTGGATTCCACAGAGACAGATTCCTCAAGTGTGTCTGGAAATGTATCCGGATTTCCCGGTAATCCAGCTATTTCTGAGGATTCCATGTCTACCTCTAGTCTAGAATTACCTGGATTGAAAAGCCGGGTTCCTGTTGTCAAGGACATGGACTCGCAGTCTATATCCAGCAATGAGTTTGGAACTTTTGAGACTCATCAGAAAAAGAACTTCAATCCAGAATCCAAGTCATTGGATAGTCTGGATTTGAAGAAGGAAGAGGTGGAGTCTGTGGAAAATTTGGAAATACCTGAAAATGAAGTCAAGGAGGAAAATGTACCTGAACAAAAGGATAATTTTTCACAGTTTTCAGGTAAAAAAAACTCCAACTCTTGATTTATCTTCCCGGCCGTTTCAAGATAATGTTTCAATTTATTCAGAATTAACTCTCTATGTCTGTCTCTTTTTTAAATAATTTAATAATCAAATATATTTTCTAAATTTATTTTGACACAGAGCCAGTTTTGCCATTTGTCAGTAAGGTTCCTGAGCCACTTCCTGTTCTGGGAGACAGATACAGCTGTTTGATGGAGGACATACCAGTCAGTATCAGTTATAGGTGTTTTCAGTCAATTTTCTAGACCCTCTTTTGACCCGAATTTAAAAAGAAATCATGGTCATGAGTTGAAACTAGGGAACCATGACCTACATATAAATATCTGACCATTTTATAATGGAGAACTTGTACATCACACTTCAAATTTGTAATTGTCAAATGCCAGCTCTAAAAAGGAAGAAAAATTTATTTGTGGTGATTAAAAAAAACATTGATTTATAAATATTGAATTCATTATATTTTGTCATTGTATAATGCATTTATTTCATTTAATATAATTATTTCTACAAGGGGAGTGACAAACATGTACACGAATGGCAGAGATGTCTGGAGAGCTGTTACAAGGTGATCAAAGAGGCCAACACAGTGTTTAACTCAATCAGTAGCTCAGCTGTCTGTAATGAGGTCATCACTTCAGAGCAGGGCTCAGAGTTTGTCAAAGGTAAGGAAATCTCAGGTCAAAGGTAAGGAAATCTCAGGTCAAAGGTGAGGAAATCTCAGGTCAAAGGTGAGGAAATTGCAGATCTCAGGTCAGGTCAAAGGTGAGGAAATCACAACTCTCAGGTCAGCTAGTTCAAAGGTGAGGACATCTCAGATCTCAGGTAAGGTCAAAGGTGAGGAAATCTCAGTTCAAGGGTCAAAAATAAAGAAATCTAAGTTCTTAGTTTTGCAGGTCAAAGGTGAGGTAATTCAAGTTTTCAGTTTACAGGTCAAAGATAAAGGATTCTAAGAGGCAAATGATACGTAATATAAGATTCTTTTAAAGCATATAACCATGTTGCTTACTTTATTTTGTGACTTTTATTATCTGAGTATGCTCATAGGGATTCTGCTGCCAACTTTGTCTTTGCTTACAAACTATGAATTTGATACTAAAAATAATTTTGTTTTTTCAGGTGTAGTTGAAATCTACAGAGTTGTATGCAGAATCAGTGTGTCTATAGAGTCTACAGGTAAACAATACTTACTGCCACTTTATCAAAATTCATCTATAGTATATTAACATGATTTTCAGAATAAGAGTATTTATACATGTAAATGTATAAAATTGTGTAATTTTACATCAATTAAATTTCTTTTTACTTGACTTGTACTTTTAAATTTTATTTAATAGATTTTAAATATACACTAACATTTTGAGATGACATTAAGGTATACATGTAGTGAGATTTTGTACTATATTAAGCAAAATTATGCACAATTTTCCTGTTTGTAGGACTGTCAAATGACAAATTAAAACAACTCCTGAAAGACGTTGATCTTGTTTGGAATAATTTGGCAGCATTTCTTGTTGGAGGAAATATGATGGTTTGTATCGAAAATTTTGATTTTATACTTTCAGAGAATACATGTACATTTTTATTTAAAAATTTGCTATGTTTTAATTCCCACTTAAAACTTCATATTTTGCTGTTTAAAAAAAATTGGTAAATTAGCCATTTATTGTGTTTCTGAGAAATTGAGAATATATGAATTAAAGAAGAATTTGGTCATAAAATAATGTACATGTATCAAATACTAAAATTATAGAAACTGCCAGTTATTTCAAATTGAAATTTTTATCTTTAATTAATGCATAACTACAGCCAGAGGATAAAGATTTAGATTGCAAAAACGGCATCTTGAAATCTGACGATCAGGTGGCCCAGTTCCGAGCCTGTGGCGTGTGTTTATTGGACGTGGACGCCGCATGTAAAGACTTCGGCAGTGAGGAGCAGTGTGCCAAACTAACGTACGGTGGCAGACAGTATCATGCTGTGTGTGCCAATTTGTGGGTCAATCTTGTGGACAGTATGCTACCAGCTCTCAGGTTACCAGAATTGTTATGATTTCAAAGAGATTTACATTCACTGCAAAGAAGATTTTTTTTTGCAGGGATGTTTTTATTTTGAAATTTAAAGGTCTAAGTGAAACTGTGTTATCCTTTAAGAAGTATATTGTTTAATACAAAGATGTAATGCACACATTACAATATATCAAGACAAATGTAAAATTTACCTTCTCATGTTTTTTTTTTATTCTAATATCAAGTAAATGTTGGGTGTTAATTAAAAAACTTGTTTGCTTGGCAAACCAAAACTATTTTGGGAAAAAAGGAAAAACTATTTTAATTTACATGTACTATTGTTGGTATTGCAAAGGTTGATAACAGCCTTAATATTAATCCTTTGAATGTTGTATTTAAAGTTTGTGTGTTCTGATCACAGAGATCAACTGTGATGAATTCATCTTGTTTTCCTTTTTCATAATTTATCTTTTCATTCCCTCATTTAAAAAAATGCTTTTAAACACATACTTAGTATTTGCTTTCCACAGAATTTTTGTTGTAGTACACAAAAAAAAAAAGAAGAGTAGTTAATTTTTGTAAATGAGTATTTAACAATGGTACAAGTGCTTCTGAACATTCCATATCATAGAAATCTCAAATGTCAGATTCCTTTATTGTGTTAGTATGAAATAAGCCATATCAAACATCCCTGTAGTTTCGTTACTTGTGTCATTCATTGGTTATATATGTTATGCGTTATGCATTGTCTATTTTCTGAGTGCACATAGAATCAGTATGATAGTATATCACAAATGGTCTAGGTCTTTAATTTTAATTTATCTACATGTAAACATGAGAGATGTTTCTTTCCATTTTAGATGTACTTTTAAAAATTAACAACTTTTTTGGTTATTAATTATAAATATGCATGAATAATCACCTTTTTCAATGATCTTTCAACCATGAGTTTCAAAGAGATTGGTGGGTTTTTTTTTTTGATGGTCTGCTTTATTCACACAACATAAAAAAAATCATTAATTTTCCTTGAAATTATTGTGACAACCTGACCCCAGGATAATGAAACTTCTAAGCTTAAATCTAAATTTTTATGTTGTACTGAAATGCAGTAGACTTGAAGTTGAACAGTCCAAAGCAAAATTATTTTTCAATACTACATGACCAGAATGCTGTAGTCTGCAAATTTGGAGACTAGGCCGAGGCTAAAGAAACATCTTACAGGTGATCAAAAATTTGATTTAAGTCTGTTTCACAATCCTGGGACCATTAAATAAATTTTTATATCCTAAAACAAGAGATCAAATGATATCTGTAGGTTCTGTCCATACTTCAACCAGTATTTGCCATATTTTACATTAAGTTAATCCACATTGCATGTATTTATTTTCCATTTTACTATAATTCACCAAACATTACAATTCTTACAGTACTTTGGAGTATGTCAACACTACAGAATATAATGCCTCTGAAATAACTACATGTGTATGTTACAGTAGATTCAGGATTAAGGTCATTCTTAGTATTTTGATCCAGTGTGGATGCAGGGAGAGTTAATCCACATCAATCTGAGGAAATCTGGATTAATTGTAGTGCGCAGTCAGAACTGGCCATTATGGTAATATGTTAGAAGATGGCAATTAACCAAATAAGACCTTCAATGTCAAAAGTAAAATTAAAAATGTGTTGTTTTTATGCTTTTTTTTCTTTAAAGAAAATATGTTTACTCAAATTGATTCTAAGAAATCTACCAGAGGATATTTTAGAATTATTTCAAAAAACAAAAATATGTTGATCATTTCGTATAATTGTCATATGATAAACCCTTTATAAAGAATGTCGAACATTCCTAAATTGATGTACTTGATATATATTTTTGAGTTGCTTACATTTGTATATGAGGCACAAATTGTGATACAGATGGAATTTGAATGATAGTTTTTTTTTTGATATTTGAAAAACTGAAATTAACATGAGAAATGCCTTTCCTTGTGTATTTTAATCTTATATTCTCTATTTGGCATTTATTTATTGATATAGTCATGATGCCATATATTATGTACCCATTTTATTTTTATCCTTTGATTGTTGGGTACGTGTACATTAAATGTTGTTATAATAGTGATAAGTCATTTATGAATATTTATGTTGAACTACTTGTTAATGGCACTAGTGCAATATGTTCAAGATGTATTTGAGAACAGTGGCTGTTAAATAAATATGTGCATATCCTGAATATATGTTCTTAGTATTTGTTCATTTCAAAAAACAAGGATGAGAGAAGTAAATGAAGCTTAAAATTCAAATTAATCTTTTTTTCCCCAACAATTTTCATTTCAATGAATGCGTTTTAGTTAGATTCAAAGTGGTCTTATAAAAAGCTGGAAAAACACTAGTTCTGGAAGCGCATACTTGGCACAAAGATTACTTAAGGTCCAACAGTGTTTTGTTACCTTGAACCAAGGTCATTTCAACAAGTTCAAGGTCACCTAAATAAAGTTAAAAAAATTTTTTCTCGGGCATGCCTTCGTAGTGCAGAATCGCTGGAAGCTCATGCTTAGAAGAGGGATTGTTTATAATTGAATGATGTATAATGACCTTGAACAAAGAAAGTTTCTATGGGTTCAAGATCACTAGCAGAAAAAAATATCAATTCTTGACTTTATAATAGAGAATCACTGAGAGTTCAGACTTAGTAAAGATGTTGTTTATAATCCAAGGATGTGTGGCAATCCTGACTTAAGGTCATTTCAGCAAGTTCAGGGTCAATAGCAGAAAAAGTAAAAAAAATGTTATCTGGGCTATAACTTGGTAATTAATGTAGAATCACTGGAAGCTGATAATATGGATACAGAGATTGCTTTTGACACAAGGGTAAGTCCTAGACCCATGTAATATTATGAAGACAGCATTGTACCATGGCATTTTCATAGATGCTGGATTGGATACATACTAACAATGTAGGCAATTGGGATCTTAACAAAGTCATCTGTCTGGGATGTATAGTGGTGCACTTGTCAGGGGATGATATGTCCTCAGAGCCATTCACTGATTCATTTATCATAGATCAACTCCAGGGCTCAAAAATTAGCCTCTATTGTTGTTTGAAATGACTTGCAGTTAATATGATTCAAGATCTTTGATATAAATGTTTCAGGTCCATGACATCTTTTTTTTCAAAAAAAAAAAAGAAAGAAAAGAAATGTTGCGTATAAAGTAGGAATATATAGATACAGAAGCTCCAGGACCTGTCCTTTTGGGCTAAATAAGCATCTGGATGAGTTATAATTGTTTCTCTAAAAAAAAAAAAATTCATTTTCCAAGAATAATATACGCAGAATGAAAAAAAAGACTTTGATTTGAAATTCACAATATAACGAAAGATTTGATTGTAATGTGTACTCAAGCCTTAAACGCTCTAATGACCACAGTAGATGAATCACGTGGGCACAGTCCATGAACACCATTTACGACCAAATTCACAACAGCAGTAACGAACAATATCAGAGAACTTTACGCTGCAGACTATCTACAGTAGAAAATATTAATTTACAGGAGTTTCTAGAGAACAAGATTAAAGTAAATATATGTTGAAATAAGAAATGTTGAATGAGAATTTAATTGTTCAATTTCTGTGAAAAATCTTTAGATTCAATTTATTTTGACATCCCGCCATTTTTAGTGGTCAACGCATGATCGATGGTCAACCGATAATTCTCACTTATATCTTTAGTCAGCAGAATATATATATAAAAATACAAAAAAGGAACATCTTTTGGTAAAGCAGTTTTTCTTTATCTTTAAACTGCACCAGAATTCATCTTTTTCTTTAAATAAGTCTAGTTCAGACCCCCCCCTTTTTCCGTAAAACTAACGACGGTCCTGATACAGGCACGTAGCATCGTTTTTGAAAGTGGGGGGGGCGAACCAGAGAGAATTTTTTTTCACTTACCTGAAAATGTTGACAAGCAAAAAAAAAAAAAAAAAAGGAAAAGTTGCCCAAAGTCGAAAATCCTATTTCGGGGGGGGGGGGGGGGGGGGGGGGGGGGGGTAGTGGCCAACTTTTTCAGAGCCAAGTTACTTTCAATTCCAATTTTTTCCCTACAACAATTCCTTCTATTGACTATACTATGGTTTACAGTGGGGGGGGCCAACCATCCTTTCAATGAACACTTACTATAGTAAAAGTAATGTTGGAGAAAAAAGTGGGGGGGGGGGGTGCCAGGCCCCATTTTGTCCCCCCTGATACTACGTCCCTGCTGATATGCATGTAATGACAGACTTGAGGCATAAATATTTATACTCTACTTAGAGGTAAGACGATTAAATGCTGAAGTTCTCTGTAATTTGGAGGTGTAAGGGAAATGATATTTTTATCACATTCGCCAAATTTGCATCGAGGTCGAAATTACGAATTTAAAAAAAGATTATTAAAAAGTGTGGCGCGAAAGAGTCCGCGAAAAGAAATGCTATATATATATGACACGCCAAATTCACAAAAATGAGATAAACCTAGTTTCACATTTGATAAACAAGGTTTATCGACTGTAAACTATAGTTTACAAACCGTAAACTATAGTTAACGATTCGTTAAGTATAGTTTTCATCTGTAAAACTATATTTAACGGTTGTTAACTATAGTTTACGAATGATAATCTAAGGTTATCTGGCACGCCAAATTCACAAAAATGAGATAAACATAGTTTCACAGTCGATAAACTAGGTTTATCGATTGTAAACTATAGTTTACGGACTGTAAACTATAGTTAACAACGTTAATCTATATTTTACATCCGTAAACCATAGTTAACTGATAATCTATGTTTCACAACCGTAAACTATACTTAACACTGAAAACAATCATCTGCGATTGCAAAACATAGATTATCTGATAAATACAGTTTCACGATTTGTAAACTATAGTTTACAAACCGTTAACTATAGTTAACGATCTGATAAATATAGTTTTACGATTTGTGAAACTATGATTAACAACTCTTAACTATAGTTTACGATTGTAAACTATAGTTTACAAACGTGAATCTATGTTTATCAGCAAAATCTATTGTCAAAACATAGATTAACATTGTTAGCTATAGTTTACAGTCCGTAAACTATAGTCTACAACCGATAAACCTAGTTTATCGACTGATAAACCTAGTTTATCGACTGTGAAACTATGTTTAGCTCATTTTTGTGAATTTGGCGTGCCATATATATACATGGCATCAAATAGTATGTATATGCCATCGTAAAAATCAGGTGAGCTTGTTGAATTCACCGAAAAACATAATGCGAGGAGTTTGTTAGAGTCAGATGCACGCGCCTATAAAGTGTTGTTCGTTTTGAACGTATTTTATTCAATAAATCAAAAGGATATATAAAGTGTTGATAAAGTATTTATGGAAAGGGACTGTTTATATTAATAATTCAATCTGTTGTAACAAAATAAGGAAAATGCGTTATGTTCTTTAAAAAATCTTAATTACCACTTGACATAAAAGAGAACTATTTTTGCCATGGTTGAACCATGTACAGAAATTGTTAAATTATGACACTAGGGTTGAGGCCTCTGGTCCAAGATCAGGCTAACTTTGCCATGTATTGAATATTATGAAAATGCAAGATATTATTACTGCTGAAAAACAAGTTGTCAAACTGTAGAAATGTTTGTAGTAGCACTTAGTCCCACCACCAATAATATGAAATCTACGACATCGTGGCCAATGGTTTTGAATTGGGGGGGGGGGGCGGGGGCGGGGGAAAGGGATGTCAGGTGGTCATTTACCAGTTTGAAGAATACATGTATTAGGCCTTTTAAGTCTTTCTTTTCTCCAGGGCTGTCCTTAAGTCTGGGTTGGAGGTTGTTCCCTGCCATTATACCCTGGTTATTCTGATATTCCCCCTTATCTCCTTGTAAGGGAAGAAAACCCAGACCCTTTTAACTCTTTAATGTCCCCTGGTATTTCAATTCATCGAGACAACCCTGTTTCTATTTGATGAAGCACACAAATTGTTTGCATAATAAACATAGCCTTTACCAGTACTGTATTTAAAAATTCATGGTCCATAGGCTTATTACCCAGGGTGGGACATCTCTCCTATAAAGAAACAATACAAAGGCTAAGGTATCTTTCATTGTTAGAAATTCATGACTTTTTAAATCTACGAATCCAATGAAAGTGGGAAATATATGTGTCCGTCTTTCTTAGTCCCTCCATCTGTCTGTGTGTAAAACTTTCATTTCCTGGGGATAACTTTAGAAGCTTTTGTGTCACTCAGGTGACCTATTGCTATCTGTTTTTGTCCGTCGTCGTGTATCATGTGTCATGTGTTAACATTTGAACATTTTCAGCTTCTTCTCTGATACAACTGAACCAATTTTGGCATAAAGCATCTATGGGTGAAAGGGAACAAAAATTGTGAATTTTATGGTCCCCACCCCACTGGGGCCTGAGGGGTGGGGCCAAAACCACTAAAATTAATGAAATCTTTAAAAAAAGTCTTCTTCTTTTCTCCTGGACATCAAGCAGTCAAACTGTTGGATGAATGTGATGAGCATTGAGTCCTCTACCAAAATTGTGAAATTCATGGCCCCATGGTCAAGGGTTCGAGTGCTAGGGTGGGACTATATAGATTTTATGGTGAAAATGCATTAATTCTTGGACAATCTTCTTCTCTGCTTCTGGGTATGAAATAAAACAACTAAATACATAGTTATGATGAGCAAGAGTGCCTCTTCCAAAATTGTGAATTTTATGGCCTCAGGGTCAGGGGTTCTGGTGTTACGGCGGGGTTCCATTGATAATATAGTGAAAATGCATTAATTCTTGGAAAATCTTCTTCTCTGCTTCTGGGTATGAAATAAACCAACTAAGTACATAGTTATGATGCGCAAGAGTGCCTCCTCCAAAATTGTGAATTTTATGGCCCCAGGGTCAGGGGCTCGATTGCTAGGGTGGGGCTATATAGATTAAGTGAAAATGCATTATTTCTTCAAAAATCTTCTTCTCTGCTTCTGGATACCGTAAAACCTTAAAATAAGCCGCGGCTTATTTTAAGTTTTGGTAAGAAAGTGGGGGCTTATTTTCAAAGCCGTCTTATTTTCAAATCGCGGCTTATTATCAATACAAAAAACTGGTAAGCAACGAGAACTTAATCAAGACATTTTATCAATAATGGTAATCGATAGATTGAGAACTACTTGCTCGTTCTAAAAGTAGAATATCCTGGTAA